GAAACAGACGTCATCAAAACAGCTCGTCAAACCCGGAAGACATTAGCGACATTTAGCGATAGCAATCTTTTTTTTAACAGTTTGATAAATAATCATGTTTTCACCGGTATATCACTGCGGATTTACTATCACATGTCTCTGATAAAACACCCATTTCTGTAGCTGGATCGTAAACCTTGTAGCAGGTGTAGAAATGTCTGGAAACTCTCAATAGATCACCAAAAGGGTAAGCTTTTGAACACTTTTCATCCCATAGAGATATGCGGTATAGTTCCAGAGAAACTGTAAACAATATTAATGGTGTCACGTGGGAGCGCCAGCGATCCAGCGGCGTTCTGAGTGTTAAGATCCTTGAGATTTGAAACTGGACAGGAGGACTGGTCTTACACGTCATTATTCCAGCATTATGGACACCCTGGAAGCATGCAAAAATGTGCACTTGCCAAATGCAATAAGTTGCCTCAGAAACTGAGGTAATTTCACCATTTAGTTGCAAAGTTTCATCATGGGGCAGACATGATGTGTTCAATTGCTCGTGAAATCTGTCAGGTGACAGAGGCTAGAAACTGCTCTCTTTTTAAAGCCTTTCAAAGCTGTGATCTTAAGTGTTTGCCGCTGCATGTGTTATATCAACATGGTGACACCCCAGGGAGGTATTTGTTTATATTCTGCATTGATTGGTAGTCACTCTGGACCCTTTACTGATAGATAGCTTTGATAGATTTCCATCATTTAGCCAACAAATCGGCACACAGGGAGCTAACAGCTTAGCTGCATTCTCTAATTCCATGAACTCAAAGATGATAAATGAAACAGCTTTATCGATAGATATAAATGAGCTGTCCGGGAAATGAAGGCTCATGGCAACTTAGCAATAATATTACTTTCCAACATTTAGGCTTTATTTGAAAGCAGTGGGAAACAGGGGCCTCCAAGCAGGCCCATTAAGTGCAATAAAATAAACAAGATTGGATGGCACTTGATGAAATAGTGACGTTTTATTTGTTGACAGGCTCCATAAATTAGAGTAATGCCAAACACAACAGAGAGGAAACTATAAGATGAAGTATAAGCATCAGGGTGTAACCTCACTCCTCTTTTAAAGGGACCACTCGAATGTGAAACACCGCCGGCCTTGTTTAAACATCCAGGGAAACTTGAAGTTCACAATCATAGTCTGCATCAAGTAGCTACAAGTCCTCCTGCTTTACTTTATTCATCACGAAGGCTGCAGGTCTCTGCTGAGGGTCCTCGTACCCAGTGGTGCAGAATTAGTGACACAGGCAGGAAATTAGAAATATGAAATACTCCAAGATGTGCTGTCCTGGTTAGTCAAGTAGAACGGCAGCACCATGCGACCTCAACACTGAAATTCAATCAGCAGTGAGGGGGCGTTGGGGAGAGTACGCCGCCTGACAGACAGTGCTAAAAGGGGTCAGGAAGTCCAAGGCTACTGATCAATAAATGTGAGCAAGCAAACACATGATACATGGCTGACATGCGCGTACGCACAAACACTCAGTGTGTCTTTCAGCAGGAAATACATCTGGGTTTAAACCGTTTATAGGATATTTCAAGACTGACCCATATCTTTTTTTATTCTATACGTGGGAGGAGAAAAAAAGTTGTTCTTGTAACCTTTTTTTTATCCTCACCAATATTTCTTCTGTCACCTAAAATTGCTAATCAGTCAGTCAGTCGATACTACTGTGGGAGGAACATGTTTGGAGAGATCTGTCTGACACTGCCACAAACTTTTGGCTATTTCTTTTTGGAGTGTTTACAAGCACTTTAATTCAGCAGTTTTAATTACCTTGAATCCAAGAGTGCTGTGAGTATAATTCAGCTTCAAAAAAGGGCTAAAAGAAGCTGATCTAAACTTAGCTACAGTTTAAGAAACACAGATTTTTAATTTTATTTTGCTTTTGACTAATTTTACATTTTCTGCTGATGCTGTATGATTGTAGTTTGATTTAGTGACACAATGATGGAGTGCAAATTTGTTCTTTCCTGCCATGTACAGTACAGGCAAAAAGTTTGGACGCACCTTCTCATTTATTGTCTTTTCTTTATTTTTTATATGACTATTTACATTGTAGATTATCCAGATTATTATTATTGTAGATTATTACATTGATCCAGAACACACAAAAATAAGGGTGTCTTTGGAATTTTCAATGCTGAAAGATAAGCAATGGGCGGCACAGTGGTGTAGTGGTTAGCACTGTCGCCTCACAACCAGAAGGTCCTGGGTTCGAATACCGGTCAGGGTGTTTCTTGTTTAAGGGGGGACATGAGCTGCCTGGCGGAGGTCTGCGCTCGCCGAGTGATTTTCTAATTCATAGTTTTGATGCCTTCACTGAGAATCTACAATTCAATTAGTAATGAGAATAAAGAAAATGCATTGAATGAGAAGGTGTGTCCAAACTTTTGTCCTGTACTGTACGGTATGATTGTACGCCGATTTTTGCCCCATTTACATCTATTTAATTAAATTATTATTGTCTAAAACCACAATGTGAGTCAACAAAAGGAAGTGAAAGAAAATGCATCAATTTTCTCTATTAACGAGGCAGAGAGCCAATCATAGTTTGGGATTTTGGGGTGGCCTGTCACATTCAAAGAGGGGCCATAGCCACCCAGGACCAGTGTCTTGATCCGGCCCTGTTGGCAGCCATGATCACTGTTTCAGAGCATTGTACTTATTTATTGTACTTTACAATATCTGCTCCCACATTTAAAAGCACTCGGCTGCCTCTATGTAGAACGAATGCACGGAAGGGAACAGTTCACTACAGAGCCATGGTGGCAGAAGCTGCTTTATTAAGAAATTGAAAATGTTTTTGTTTACTTATGGGATACCTTGAATACTTTCAAGAGCTTAGTTGGCTGAAACCCAATGTAATGAGAGCTTGGTTTGTCTCTCCACTTTTCTTTTATTGTTCTGTAAATATTGTTTTGTTGTAGTGTTCTTTGAAGAGGAGGTAAATGATAGAGCTGCTGTGTGGGAGGAGTGATGGTATGGATGTGATGTTGGTGTCTTGTATGTTAGAAGGATGAAAATGTTGTTCAGAAGTGTCGATGGACCCCAGGAAGAATAGCTGTGGCTCTTTGCTGTAACTAATGGCGGATCCAAATAAACTGAAACTGAAACTAACATCTGGTGCTGGTGTGTTAGCGTATCTCTGGAAGGAAGTCCTCACATCTCCTTATTGTGTATTTACTACATCATACAGTATCTGACCTATGATTTGGTCAATCCCCCCCTAAGCCTCTGCAAAGCATTTGGCAATCCTGCTCTCCCCATTATTAAATGTCCCTGCCATTACTGCTGATGACTTCTCGCAGGCGTTCCTCTGAAAATAGAACTCCTCGCTTGGAGAACAGACACACGGAGCAGAGGGTGTTGGAGCTGGTAACGCTGCAAAAGAGACGGCTGAGAGTATGTGTAGTGCAGAGAGGGAAAAACTGATCAAATGAGCCAATCCCCATGTTCGGTGCTAATGATGAGCCTGGAGGAGAGGCCTCCATCCTCTCAACAGATGTGCGTGAGATGGTAGCTACGGTGATAAAGAGATGAAGAGAGCATTATGGGTAACTGCCTCCACTAAAAAACTTTTAAGTGACGCATAGAAGAGGCTTTACATTACTGTGAACAATTTTGAAAGAATACCATCAGTTTCTTCGCTGGTATTTCACCCTGCAGGCAGCAATTCAGTTTATTTTAGTGCTCTATTAAAATCAGCCTGCAGTCTCCAGATCTATCACATCCACAGCTTGAGATCCGTCACAGTGAACAGCTTGACTTCTTTATCTGAGTTTTATTTTTGTTATGTGGCCTTGCATTAGCGAGCGGGGACCATTTCCAACACTCGCACCGCTGATGCATTTACTTACATTTACTCATCTGCCAAAAAGAACTGATGAGTGCTCTTTTCTGATGATCTAATCCAGGAGACAAACACGTACAGCGCCAAGAGGATGTGGAGAATTTTGTCATTTTCTGACTCTAAGATGGAAAGCTGTTCATCAGTAGACTGACATTTAGGGTGTGTGAGGGAGCGCACAGCTACAGGAACATGCAAAGTAAGCGGTATTGCACAAGAAGGAGTGCTGTTGTTCTAAATATAAGTATGACTCTGGATCTGTTATGTAAATTTCTACTGTTAGAGTGCAGGAGGAAATCACAGAGTTCGGACACACAGTATTACAGCCTTTACTCTTTCATGTATGTCTTCACTTTTCCACACACATGTACATTTATCCATTTTTCCATTTACTTAAACTTACAGCTACAGCTCAGTGATACAGTAAAATATAAAGTTTTAGTAACTTTGTACATGAGCTGTGCTCAAGATCCCTCTCCTTCAATAAAATCACTTTTACACATATCATATAACTGCAGAAATCTCTCTCTACAGCATCAGCTATTTCAGTAAACAATATGTCCAAGTTCATATGACAAAGCCTCATAGCAGCTATTTACTATATTTGCCTCAGGGCGCCCCTAAAGACTGGAACCAGACACTGAATTTTGAAGACAGATGGTAACCGGAGCAAAGTAGCACAAAAGTTGCTGTTGCCACATTTATCTGCTCTGACCACTTGGCATTTTGCTGATTATCTGTTTACATGTTCAACAATTACAATAGATAGTAAACTTATATGGCTTTTCTGCATGTGTGTTTTTCACTCTAGATATGTTTTCACCAACTACTCTGTCTCAATTAATGTCCCGCCCCCAACACCATCTAATTTGCTGGTGCCACATGACTGTGTGACGCAACTGTAACTGGTTAACAGTGAAAGATTCAGTTTGGATCAGACATTTGGTATTATTCCAAATTATAAATTTTGACATAGACATGACCATTTTTACTGTGAATGCATATTTGCGCCGAATATTATTAATCTGTCTTGTTAACAACCAATAACCTGTATTGTAATAATCTGAGAAAGCAACTAATTCACACCTAAACAGAAAAGTTACCAAAAAATTAAGGTCGAGTTTTGATGCCTAATTTAATGAAAAAATTATAAATGTTACAGAGACATGAAGCAACACTCAAACAGCCAAAAATATGTGGTGTTAGTCGGTGTTCAAAGGTTGGCGAGATGTGCGAGCAGCCAAAGAGACTTAGTACTAGAATGAAGTTATGCCCAGTACCACACCTGTCATTCATTGATTCCATAGTGAGTTATTTTCATATTGATGAGATTTTAAATACGAGCCGTGCTTCTGGTATGTAAATCCTGTCACCTTAATAACTTTGAAATGTATGTGTAACAAAAATATTCACTCCAGGACAGTGAGTGCTGCTGAAGCCAAAACAGATTTTTGAACCAGGCTGTAAATGTGTTCGTTTTTTTGGTCAGATAAATTGTATTTTTTTTGTGTGTGTGTGTGTGTGTGTGTGTGTGTGTGTGTGTGTGTGTGTGTGTGTGTGTGTGTGTGTGTGTGTGTTCATGGTTTCTGGGAACTGAAGATTTTCATTTCTGAAGACCGGAGGTTGCAGACTGATTAAAAAAGTACTTAAAAAAAACACAATTTTTATTCAATCTGTCTTCTTTAGTGAGTTTTTATTATTAGTTTCTGATTGAAGTTGTTTTCTTTACATAAGATTTGGCCTTCAGAGAGTCTATCTGTAAAATCTGTGCAGGTTAACAGGTTAACAGGATGGTAATTTTAATTATAAATCTTCTGATTTCAAATGCAAAAGAACATAAAATAGGTGCGAGTTCAATTGTAAAACTAAAAGGAGATGTTTAATGTGGGCTTTACGGGTCAAACTAGGGCTCACTCAAACACCCAGATTGGTGAGTAATAATGAGAGGTGAATGTCTAAGCTGGAAAAAGGTGCGCGGGTCATTCATATGACTCATGAGAGGAGACAGTTGAACTTTGTTACCGAGCAACAGAGTGAGCAGACGGAGGAAGTTGGGGTGGTTGGATAGGTCACCAGAATGTTGAATGCTGTTTTTTTCGATGTCAAATTACTTGTCAACACACAACATTCGAGCTTGTTCAACAGGACTGATGATTTATCCATTGCGTCATGAGGCTTGCTGGAATGGAAGGAAACCAATTCAATAAATAGAGAAACTGTGATGCAGAGTCAGTTTGTTTTAAATAGGTCAAAACATGGAGAATTACTCACTTCCAGTCGGGGACCCGCATGAATCTCCTTTTCTCGATTCAAAACCCTCTGCCTGCAAATAACCAACTTTCTTTGGGCCCAATTATTGCTATTTATTGAACAAGGCGCTCCTGAATGATGCGTGTTCACAGTGGGCGCCGTCCTCCTTTGAAAATCATCATGTACATTTCACATGTACTTTAATGAGTCATGGCTGTAATCAGGTCATTGAATAATTCATTGTGTTAATATTGAAAAATGCATGTCTGCATGCAACAACACAAGAGATGGAGTGTGGCCTCACGTGTAGTTTACATTCAAACCATAAAAGGACTCTGTTCGCTCTTGCTGGCCGGGTTTCATCTCAGTTTCTCGTTAATTGGGGCCAGACTTTAATAAGCTCTGGGTGGTTTTCTTCAGAGATAACAATATTTGTCTAGTTGTGCGTTAATATTAAACAAATCCATGAATCATTTCACGCAAACTGATACGTTCTCGGTTATAAAAATGGCTTCACCGTGAGCCTTTTCCTGCTCTCTTTGTCTAAGTAGTTGTGATTTGAACCTTTAATCGCATCTTTGTAATCTGACTGCTTCCTTATCTTAACCCTTGCGCAGCTGGTCTAATTCCATTTAAATCTATAATCTCTAACTGCGTGCGGAGCTATAAGGGCGCAACATTCACACGTTAGCTATACACGGTGGAGCTCCCTTTGGGCCAGCTGTCAGGGAGAGTCAGAGCTCCTCCAGCTGTTTATATTACTGATGGATATCATTCTACTTTTCACTCATTCTATCCTCCCCTCATTCCCGGGAGAAACCCGGGAAGCCGAGTGTCGATTCCTGATGGGGTCTGGTGGACTGATTCAATAGGATAGGTTCACTCTCTAACAATAATCTACATCCTGTCTCCAGAGATGTGCATGCAAACAGGAATGTGTACGTTCACAACCAGGCGAGCGCACACTTGCACACACACCAAATACTCTACCCCGACCCCGTTCAAGCAGAGGGACCCGCACCATTCCTGCCTCGTCTCTCCCCCTCTCTGCCCTCTGCTCCTCTCATTTTCCACCTGTCTCTGATCCTCTGCCTCTTTTACATTTCAATCCACCGCCTGTTCCTCCTCGTCCTGACAGGAGAGCGAGCAGAGGAGGAGATAGGAGAAGAGGGGGAGAGGGGGGGAGCGAGAACGTGAAGTAGAGAGGGAGTTGTCCCCTTTGGGTAGCTGAGCGATTACAGTTTGAAAGATCCAATCCCTTGCATCATACCTCTCCCAACCACCTCTGCTCTCCCATTACTCTGTGGGAACCTCAGCCTCCCCTCCACATCTGGCACCACCACTACTCTTTTTCTTCATCCCTCCTTATCCGTTTATTCGTACTCCATTTACGACTCCTCTTGTTGTCTCTAATCCCACCCACAAGCAAGCCACTTAAACCACGCTCAGGGGTTTGTGTGTTTGTGCTGCCATTATTCCCTGTGCATCTAGGAGGCACACTGAAAAATTCTGCAAAGTAAACCCAACTCTTTTTTTTTTTATCTGGCACCTTTTCCACAGCCCTCAGTGCTTCATAGATTAAAAATAAAAACCACAAAAACACTGGGAACAATATAAAAAAGGCAGAAAACAATTAAATAACACTGAGCTCTTGCATCCTAATGAAAAAGATAAGTAAGGAAACCCAATTACAACTAAATCCCAATGTTGTAGAGATAAGGTACGACCACATGGCTCGTAATGATACCCGTGAAGACAGATGCGAGAGAGCCAAAGCACAACTGGGTGGCACCTCCCTTCACCAATGATTGTAAGATTAGACTCATATATCACCTGAGGGATGCTCAAAGTTTTGTCCCAAAACCGTCTTTCTCATTGGTAACTCTAAGCACTCATTATAGATCTCCATTCCAGACTTCGCTCCGGCACCTATCTTGCATCGCCCTGATCCAGCATGTAGAGCCCACAAAATCACAACATTAGTGTGTACTGAGGTACTAACAAAGTAGCAAGGAGTAAGAGTCAGTGCATATACATGTACAGCTTAATCGGACTAAGCTCATAATTCGTTTTTTTTTTTTGCCAAATCAGACTTCTCTCCTTGTCCGTGTATGCATGCAGCTGAGACAATCGAATTATTGACGTTATAGTGTCCTCCTTCCCAAAACTAGGGGGCGATATGGGTCTTTTAAGCAGCGCTGTTTCCGACCCTGTACAACCGTCAACAACAACCTCGGGTCGGTGCCAGACATCAGAAGTGGCTACAACTGTTGCTGGGCTTTTTTGAGCAAGAAGATGGAGCATTGTTTTTGTCGTACATGATGTACGCGCTACTTTTCCTGCAGATGAGATGCACGCCACTCCTCTTCTCTGGCATTTTGGTTCTTGGGTTAAGGGGGCGTGGTGGACGTGCACATTCATTGTCCAATCATACTCCGACTACGCTGGTTACATGGTCGAGAAAATCGAACTCCGATCGCATTATCTGGGTGTCTTAATCGGAGTTCTCAAACTCTGATTACAGTCAGACTAAAGTGTTTACATGCCCTCCAGTTGTCCAGTCTTAATCGGAGTAAGGTAATAATTTGGTTTTCTCGAGTGTTATGTAAACGTACTGAGTGATGTTGGCCTTGTGGCATGATGTTTTGTTCAGGTCTGAAAAAGATATTGCAACTCAGCGAAAAACTTGTCATGCACAAATTTGTGCCAATATCGGATCAATATTGGTATCGGTCAATATTGAAGGCTACGATATCGATATCATATCGGAAGTCATAAAGTTGTACTGGGACACCCCTAATTATAACGAGAATGTGATTTAATGTAATCCACAATGACTTTACAAGTCCAAAAATAAATCCTAATTCAAGATAAATCAGCCAAAGAGGCTTAAATCTGGAGTTAAGACTTATTTCTTTACTTCTCTGATCAATGTGGCTTAAATAATTTGTAGCAAGATAATTTGATCAGAAATCACTTGTATCCACTCAGTTAGATTTGAGTTTTTGCAGTGTAAGGAACTATAATCAGGTAATTGAAGCCGAGGATTGATAGTAAATGACTTGACCGAAGGCTTTCCGAGACTATTAGTGTAAGTGTTTTGAAAATTCTATCTGTATGTGAGTGTGTGTGTTTGGACAAGTATATCCTCGGGTGTGTGTAAGCATATGTTGTAAGCAGCTTCAGGAGCCATTTCTGCAGCCTTATCTGTCTGTGAGTGGAGTGCTGGCTGCTCCAGCTGCAGAGCCAGAGCCCACTGCCCACTGCTTAAGTGGAAGAAGACTAATCCCTCTTCTCAGAGCCCACTGTCGTAAACACCACTTCTCAAAAGCCACCCATGCACACCCAGCCTGTCCAGCGCAGCCGCGGCCCACCCGACACTCTGCCTGTGCAGCTTGGGGCCCCTTCTGAAGGAGAGGAGATAATTGAGAAGGCCTGATCACATATCAAATGATTTCCAGCAGAGCTTTTCGCTCGTGCCAGCAGCAGGCCGCAGCTATTTGGTTGTGTGTCCCTCGCTTCTTCAGTCAGGCGGAGAAGGCCCATGTGCTCCTCCCGCGTCAATATAACAATCTGCCACAGTCATCATCCATAATCTCCATGATAAGAGAGGAAATATTGTCATAGGAAATGTAGCAACTGGACTTGGAGCTTTGGAAATCTGAGCCCATCTCACAGCTTGAAAGAGAACAAACTGCAAGGGAAATGTGCTGAGATGAGTTTTCATACGAACGTTGGGGGTCATTTCCCAGATTTCCTCCTCTTTTTTTAGAAATGGGAAATGGTGTGCTGCTAACTGAGCGCCTACAGGGTACAATTTAGTCAAATAGAAAAGATCAGATCTGGAATTAAAAAGTAGTCAGCGCTGACCACCACAGCAGGTCCAAGAGGAAATACTAAACCGCTTTCGCACTTTGCTGTAATTTGCAGAGACAGTTGGATAAAACAGCAGTTTATGAGGGCTTTCCTGGTCCAGCAGTGCCGCTGAAGGTTGTTATCCGCATACCTTGCTGCAATGAACAACGTATTTAACAGCAGAAGGTCAGATGCAAAGTAGAGATCTGCCATATGGTGTGACAAGTCTTTGATGGGGAAATTCATCAAAATCACCAGCATAACTGGCAGCCTTGTGATTTTTCATCATAACACTTCCTTTTGCCATTTGGGAAACATTTTTTAGAGTGAGGGTAGGAAGGGTGGTTGGAAGGACAAGGTGGCACATTGAAATTCATTAAAGTGAGCTTTGCGTACACGCTGCACTCTGCTCTGCATGGATGGTCGCCTCTCTACTCAATCAAGTCTGGTCAAAATTGACCCACATCATCCATCCCTGGGCGAATCAGAAACAGAGTGTAATGTGCCATGCTGTTGCATTATTTCAGGGTGGCCTTCCTTGGATTGACTTTTCTCTTTATAGAGAAATTTAGGCGGTCTAACAAAACATGTGTCCTTGTCTGAATCTGGATCGCTCAGAAAAATGACAGTATAGGTGCTGCTACTGCTGAAGTTCTGAATGTGCAGATCTCTGAGGTCAAGTCTGCAGAAATAAAAATTTGACATCTGCTTGTTCAATCAAAATGAAGTTGGCAAGGTTGTGAAGGAAAAATGTACAACATTAGAATTTGCAGAATTCAGTTTTTGGAGAATTCTCATGTTTTATTACTTTTGAAGTTGCAACATGAAAGTTTAGTTATGTTTGAGTGTAAAATATCCATCATTTTTATAAGTAGGAAAAATCAATGTTTGGGTTTAGATAAGTATCCTATTCTGGATTGTGTGCATGCTTATTTGTCACATATCACCTTTACCATGCCATGCCATTAGGACTGGGCGATATGGCCTCAAACCAATATCACGATATATTGAGCAGTTCACCTTGATAACGATAAATGGACGATAACTACTTCACAAGCTGCTCACCCCCTCCCACATTAACTTTGTCTGTTAATGTGCTCCATCTCCTCGCCTGTCTTTCCCTCTTTGTTACAGACCTACACACATCTAAAACCAACCTTTATTTATTAATATATTTTTTTGACACCATATATACCGATATAGGCAAAATGACGTCAGTTATTGTCATAAATTTCTGTATCGGTAAATTTTCAGTTTATCTCACAGCCCTACATGCCTTCATCACTTCCTTTTTGCATGAATCTACATAAAAAGTCATCCTATAATCAGTGTAATGCAGCCTCTGAATTAACAGACCACTGTGCCTGCATGCCGTCTGTGTCAGTGTGCAACATGACTGTGAAATGTCAACATGCATTCAACACTGTTGCAAACGCACACTACTTTTGAATCTATTTATTTCAGAGCTTGTTTGCCTTCATTCAGAGGATATGAGCAGAAAAACAGAAGTACATGCTGCAAGGGGCAACAGTTTGGAATTGAACCTAGTCTCCCCATTTTCAGGACTGTAGCCACAATATATGAGGCAATTTAACCCCTGAGTTGAACCTGCGCTTCGAGCATGACTGACTTAAAGACAGTGAATTCCCACTTATCCAGGTGCTTGTTAACGCTGTGAAAAACCACAGAGTGTTTTCTTTTAGCACCACAGGGCCTGGTGGGGCCAGTGACGTATCACTTCATCTGCCCTTTTTCCCCTTCTTGTATTTCCTCCTGACCCATGCAGGAATCAGAGCTATTGGTCAAAGGGGCTTAACCATATTCGGTATAAAAGCAGATCCAAATTTCCAAATAATAAAATGCACAAATGTGATTTTGAATCTCTGAATGTTTTAGAAAGAACACTGCGCTTCTGTGGTTTGAATTCCCATATTTTCACGGACCAGAGTTCAGACTGTGCTGCAGAAAGAAAAAATAATGTGACATCAATTTATTCCAAAACCATGCAGTTCTAATAAGCACCAACATTTACTGACATAACTTGTCTTATGTTGTTTCATGCAACAGCTCTCTTACACAACTTTTATCCCTGCTCATATGTACGTAACAATTACAAACCTAAAAAAAAGCAGGCGGCTTAAAAACACAGCACAGGCTATTTATTGCATCAGCGTCACAAATCCGTTTTCTGGATCTAATTTTGTTGTTTCTTTGACCCGAGACTACTTTGAGTTATTTTGATACTACATCACGTCATGAGGATACCTCACAGAACGAAACAGTAGATGATGAAAACGATGCTAGATGGGGATCGTAAGCCTCTTATGTTGCCCAAACTTTCATTTTCAATGACGTTGGATGGAGAACAGGCTGTACTATATCAAGCCAGAATGAAGGAAGAATATTTCCAATTACTTAAATGTGATAGCATGTGCATGCGTGTTCACTAAACTACTAAAATACGAGGAATTCCCAATACCCTCTTTGACGATTCAGTTATTAATGTGGCAGAGAAGTGACCCATGCAGCTTTATTTATCCTCCAGATCAACAGTTAAGCCAAGTGTCCACTCAGAGGTCTTATCCAATGTATTTATTGAAGCCTACTGGCGTCACAGCCCTCTTTGTGGTTGAATAAGGGTTAATCAAAAGCCCGGCTCTGTTAAAAACCCTTAAAAGGACTCTGGAAATAAAGTAGATCAAACCAAGAATTATGAAACACATGCTGACACAGTTTGGCGTCATCCTACCAGACCACGAGGAGAAATTAGAGGATTAAACGTTATCTGTTGAGTCAGGATAAGACAGGTCCAGTCAGGATGTGTCTGGAGGTTCCATTAGCGGCTCCCTGCACCTGTGAAACTGCCCCACACCCCGGCTGCTCATCAATCTTTCAGGACCCGTGCCTGCGGAGGCAAGGTGGCTCTGGAGTTGGGTCACAGCCAGATTTGGAGCTGGTGCAAACAAGCAGAAACGAGCTGCAGCAGACCAGCCGGGCTTGGCTTCCCCGCTCCGGTCTACTGCACGAGCACACCAGAGGAGTTCGGCCCTGTTTGTCTGTCTGCACGGCAACAAAACAGGCCAGCACAGCACAGCAAGCGGGGATATTTTGGCCACAGTCAATGCATGCATGTGTGTCTGACGCTTCAGTAACAACAGGGAACATGGAGAGCGGAGGAGACTCCAAGAACACCGAGCATGCTGGGTGAAGCCTGCTTCTCTCTGCCGGTGAAACCACATCACTCTTTGATCCTTTTCTACTCATCCGATCCAATACACACAAACATACCCAGGTTGTCTGTCAGCTGTCAGAAAATACACCTCCACTGCATCTGCCTTTTTCCCCCGTCAAAGCTGGTCACCCCACAAAAGCCGAGATGTTATTTTCAGTTGGAAATCTCTTACAGGTGTAACCCCCCAATGTTACTGTCAGAAAAAAACTAATGAGCATCACTTCTCATTCATCACTTTTCACTTCACACGGACTCAGAAGTGCACACGCGTGCACGAGCCGTCATTCAGCTCCACCAGTGGAGGACATACACTACTACACAGCGGGAGCAGGCTCTGGGTTTGCAGTTGATTCTGTTTGTTTCTACTGTTTGATGGAGTAGAGGTTCCCCGGGGCACAGTCAGAATATCGTGGGGAGCCGGAGCGCATAAACAATCTGAGGCTCGCTTTTTTTTAGGTGGCGTCCGACATCAAAACAATCGAGAAAAAAAAAAAAAAAGTTTGCTTTTCATAAAAAGGCAGCCTCTACAAAGCACGGCTCTGCTTCAATGAAAGGTTTAACAGTAATACCAAAACATTTACCCGCCAACAGTTCAGTCTGGAAACCATTATCATGCATCATGCATCCTGGTATTAATGTTCTCTGCATAAATGTGTTGATTTTCACAAAGTTAAATGGGATAACATTCTAGAGCGCTATTACATCTGTGTGTTTCAGAGTGGCTTCAATTAACCTTTGTAGTGATTGCACCCGAGGAAACACTGGAATCCATTGTTAATCCAATAATTATTGTCTGGCAAATGTACTTGACTTTGTGCCGTCAGCCAGCTAATTCACTTCTTGTTTTTCTCTCTTTCTTTTTTTTTTTTTTCCAGAAGTCAATAAATCTTCTGATTAGAATTGGAATTGTAATTTAAAAGGGGAGATGTTTATCAGAGTGTTATCTACATCCCCGTTAAGAGTGCCGTCAATGCAGACCCACGCTCTAAAACGTCGTTTTTAAACAGTCCGCCTCACAAATTAATTTATCCCAATCGATTTTGTCCAAAAGCAGCTAAAATAATTCAAAATATTGATGTTGTATTCAGTAGAAAAGGGCTGAATTTCTTTAAATTAGCAACAATAAAATGCCTTTTTGATGTTTTCCAGAAGCAAAGCCTTTTCCCTGTCACATTTATCTTTCTTTTACACCATGCCGTCGATAAAATACGTTGAAAATAATTCACAGTGTGGTAATTCAGCATTCTTTATAAAATAGGGCCAACCAAGGCAATAAAAAAGCTTTGGATATTGATTTGTTTTGCAACAGGGAGCCCAAGGGTTCTTTTAAAGCACTGGATCTTTAGAAAGTGAGCTAAACATCATGGCTGCTGCGAGTATAAAAAAAAAGCTACCTCAGGTGCCAGAGTGGAGAAGCAGACTGTTGTGGCCGAGCAATCAGAGGGCTGTGATTGCAGGTTTGCAAAAAACAAAAAAGGAGAAAAGTTATCAATCAAGATGAGGGCGAGGGTAATCAGAGCAATAAAGGTAAACAAATCAGAAATAAAGGGTATAAAACGTCTTGGAGTGAAATCCTGAGAGGGCTGTGGAGACAGAAACACATGCTGTTATACTATTCATAATTGGTATGAGAATATGAGTAGCTGTTTGTTGCCCTGCTTAGATTACCGTACTTGGACATGCCATGGAGTGTAAACTGGAGTGAAGTGGTTCTTGATGTGGTCAGTCAAAGTCCTGTTGGTTCTCTGTCTACATTTGATCAAACAGGTTCAGTTTTTCATCTTGAAAAGGTCAGACTCCTCGTTGTCCCTTGTCAAGAAACTGTTACAAGTCCACAGTGAGTCATGCAGCAAATAGGTTGCCATTCTAATCCACGCAGCATCGCATACAGGACGAGTATCAGCTCCATCGCAGCTTTGTATCAGAAGTGTATCAAACATGGCTCTGCTAAAGATACGCGCAGAGTCTATATTTGCTGCTCTACGCATCCAACAAGCGTCAGTCTCCACAGAGAAGATCTTTCTAGATAGGATGTCAAGCATGAAAACATGTGCTTGTCATCCGGTATTAATAAAACACAACATGCGGGCTTCCGAGTGTGTATCAGTGTATGTGGATGAGAACTACTTCCTGGTTATGGATTTATCAGTAACACAGAACAATCTGATCAATCCCTGATCCATGTGGACCCCAACTCGACATAGTTTACTTTACTAAACACGAGTAAACCTGCAAAAACCCGAAACTGTAAAATCACGTTGCTTTTTCACATACAGTAGAGGCTCAAGGGTCACTGAATTATATCCAAATTAGCAGGAAATCAACCACAGAAAGGAAAAACAACCTGTTGTGAGCATGTTGTTTCCTCTATACTGAGCCCAGCTGACCGGGGCTGCACTACGCTGATGCAACACTCCAAATACGCATCCTGTATGCGATAGACAGCGCTGTTCTACAGAGCAAATACGTGCTCAATATGGATCCTGTATGTTTTCGGCTTAATGCTGTAGAAGATCGTACTTAGTGAGTATACATTTATGAAAAGTGATCCTCGTCCGTGATTGGCTGATCAAGTCTAAAAAAAGTTAAAAACAATCAGTGGGTGTATCAGTGTCCTGATGCTGATTGTTTTAAATATCCACGAAAAGCTTCGCTGTTCTTGAATCAACTTGAAATGTCTTTCTGAAATGGTCTCACAGAGACGTGATGAGCTCCAAACTACTGTCATCTGTCTGCAATGCTCCACAGCATCACAAGTGCACTCGCCATCACAGGAGAGCTATTCCCTGTCAGCCGTGGAGCAGTCAGTGAGACCACAACTTGAGCTACACCCGCCATCTCAGAGCCTTTTAACCACCTGACTAAACGACGCTCTGCTGCTCCAACAGCACTGACGTTCTGCTGCCTTTATGTTTATGGCGAGCTGACATGTATCTGAAGGGCAAATTACTGCTTACGGCGCAGAGGCTGAGTGACAACAGGCAGCCCCTCTCTCTCTCTCTCTGTCTCTCTCTCTCCGTTCTATTTCTGCTCTTCTCTAAGAGACCCATCTGCTGTGAGAAATGTATTTATTGATGACTGTTTACCTCTCCTGGTTTGCTTTTGTGCCTCAATTTAGGCCCCAAGTCACTCCAGCAATTCAAAGGCTCGGGCTCTCGAGAGCGTTTGGCTTCACATTCAGAAACATCATGGTGTGTCTGGTAATGGTTAATAGTCTAACCAGAACAGCAGCAGCAGCAGAGTGAAATCTGAAAGCAGGGTCTCTCTAAAGTGGTTCATTTATCTTGTGTGAGGAGAGCCGGCCCACGCTCTGACAAAGAGCAAAGACTTTACAAGGAAAATTCTAATCAAGCAACAGAAAAGCATCCTGAGGCGTCCGCATGGTCATTTGCTGAAAAACAAATTAGCCTTTACCCCTGCACTATTCGACCTGAAGAAACAACTAAAGACATCTCAAAAACTGATTTTAATTGTTATTATAATAAGTGTCTGACCAGCTCATCATCAGCGGGGGACCCTCTGAGATTACATTTGTCTTAAAAAAACCACCAAACAAGACAGAGCTACAATTTGGATGAAAACAGGTTTGAGAAATTCGATTAATGGGTGACAGCAAAGGTCGACATTAACAATGATAAAACACACTAAGAAATTAAACATGAATTATCTTCTGGTGCAAAACGCCTGTAATGAAGTAAGATAATATCAATTAATGAAACAGAGAGGAGGCGTGGATCAGGAGCGAAAGACGAGGAGTAACGACGGTTAAGGAGAGAGATATAAATCGAGAACAACATGTAAGAAGTCAACAGTCTAACAAATACAGTTTACACTCCATTGCATGGTTAAGGAGGTCAATTTAAGCATGGCAACAAGCAACTGTGTTTAATGATTTATCTGCCTAATCTGACGCAGATCATTAGGAGAAAAGCCCCTGCACAACTAAAAACAAGGCAAGCGTAAAAAAACATCAGAAAATCTGTTTTCTCGTACAAAACAACACATTTTTACCATCTGCAGCACCCGCTAAAATATGTTGGCAGCTTCCTGGCTTGCAACATATATTTTTCGCTGAAGTTTACCACAACAAGACTGCGGCACAGCTTCTTCTTTCTCCTGCAGACGCCTTAACTTTGGGCTGCAAATCCGTGTGTGATGTGCCAGTGAGTGAATTTCCCTTTTAACAGTGACTGATCAGGACAAGTGTGTGGCAGCAGGCGGTAGGATGTGAGGGAGAACCGGCTCGTCTGATGCGCAGCCTCACTGCCGGGGAGTCACCAGCAAGACGGTCCCACACATATGGAGGAACGCGTGCCTTCCCGTAGAGTGGGGTTTGGTGTGTTCGTGTGTGGACAGCGGGGTGTGCTAATGCTGTAGCCTGGCTGTCACATAGGCTCCATTATAAATGAGCATGAATCGCTGGGGCAGCTGGACCGAGCGAGGGGCATCTGGGTAATTTGGAGAGTTAGGGAGGGGGGGTAGCAGGTTTGTTAGCCCAGCTGTGTTAGCTGAGGTGGTAAACTGGGTTTAGGTTGCATGACAGAGCATGTGAGCGTTCATAAATACATAAATATCTGCCGCTGAGCTTGTATGCAGGACTCGGCGGGGAAGGACGCCCCAGCAGCAGCAGCAACTGACCTCATAAAAGAAGTAAATGTAGCATCTTGAAGGAAAACTAAAAGAATTTCTGTTTTGTCAAGCCTCCGTTCACCGTGTGAAACATGGGTGTAGTCTTTGTAACGTCAACCGTTGATTTCTCCAGAGGTTGAATGAAGCCAAACAATGGCTTTCGCTGTGTTGAAAATTCTGACTCTGACAGTTGGCCAGTCTAGACACCAGCAGTGAGGTGGAGCAGGCAAACACATTCAATGCAACCACATGCTCCTGCTTATGAAAAATCAATGCTCAACTCTTGGCCATAATATCTTCAAAATAAAGGAGAAAGAAAACACTCATACACAGAAAATGTGGAGAAATGAGCCACATAAACTGCAAATGGGAGCTAGTTCAGGCGAGCAACTCAACACTGATTTCACTCTGATTGTGAGCCGTTTTAAGGAGAACACGACAAACACATTCTCCCTATTTAAGCCCCAAGATTTCTAGTCTCTGCCTCTCTGCTTCCATGCTTAAGTGCTGCACTTACATTTCAAGTCCCTCCACCACCCCGGCATCCACCTGTAGACTCTGACGGGAGGATTAAAGATATTGTCTCTTCACTCCTCATTTTCTGTGAAGAGTGACGCGGTGGGAGCAAACACAATGTTCTGCTGTTGTAATAAGTGCTTCAAAGCATCAACATGAGCTTTCTGACTGAACTGTTTTTGTACAAGGCTGTAAATATGCCGATCTGGCAATCCTGGCAAACAGTTAGTATAATAGTCTTAAAGGGATATTCCGGCGTTAAATTAAGTTAGGGTCAAACACACCGTAACACCAAGTTAGACACCCCCTCGAGAGATGAATTTGCATTTTGCACTGCAGACGCGGTAGTTCTTCTGCCTTAGGGTCTCGGTCTGATTGCATTTCCATAAAGAAATGATCATAAATGTTCTTCCTTGAGCTGTGTCACCCCGCTGCAGTCGGTAATGGACTCGTCCTTTGCTGGCTGCTGGAAGAGAGTAGCTGAGTTGTGTTTAGTCTCTTTGCTAAAGAAATTAGGCAAAGTTAAAAAGATGTTTGGTAGCTAGTGCTGTGGCTGGGACTCTACATGGACTGTTGATGAAGTTAGGTGCTGTTCTGAGCATTATTTGTGGCTATAGAGTGACGTTTTGGTTGAGGTTTGCATGTGGAGATGTAGACCGCTGTGTATTGCTATCGTGCGGTTGTTACTTAAGTTGGTATAACTCGAGAGGCCAGCGGTTGGCAACATTCATCTCTTGAAGGGGTGTCTGAACTCGATGTTATGGTGTGTTTGACCCTAACTTAATTTTAGATCGGAATATCCCTTTAACGTACACCCCCTATCCTCGTTAATTTTACTCTAGTGGGACCAAAATCTATGAAAAATTCACAACCTTTTTTTGTTGAACCAGACTCAAAAATAGCAATCAAGGCGATTAACCCATTAGTTAAATTTAACGCTGAAAAGTAGGGCACATTCCCCCCCAAGATTTTAAGTAACCCCACCGGTGAAGTCTACCCACTGTTTCACTTTTTCATACACTGTGAGGGGGCAGCTCTTTCTTGAATCCTTGATGCAGACAGGGGAAATAAACAGACCTGCTGCTGGAATGACACTTTACTGAAATATTGATCATCCTCCATGGGAGGGTTGAAATGCACAGAGTATACACAGACACAAAGGCAGACCGATGAAAAACACAGTAATGCATATATGAGGGACTGGGGATCAGACCAAAACCTTCAGAAGGCGCATGGCATTACATAAACATGTTTTCTTTCCTATACGCAGAACCCTACACTGATAATTTGCTGGGATGTCAATAGCTGCTGTATAATTTATTCAGATTGATTCAGCGTTGACAACTATGGAGGCCACTGATATGTAGTATAACTTTAAATAAATAAACACATAGGCAAACCACAAAGCTGTGGAGGGAAATGTAGTGAGTGTCTGGGTACTCCAAACAAATAAATTATTCAGCTTACAATCAACTCACAATCCCCGCCACCAGGCTCTCACACACAGTCTCTCACACACACACACACAATGCAGGTGTGGGAAAGAAATAAAATGGAGGACTCGCCTCACCTTTCGCACTTCCTGTCATGTGAAATATAAAACTTTGGGGTTGTTGCGTTCTGTCACAGAGAAAGTCCTCAAAATACCGGCAGACAGCGAGTGGCTTTTAATAAATCAATTAGCACTATCTGCCTGTGATCCAGCTGACTGAGGAGCGAGAGGGAGGGGAGAGAAAATAAGAGGCGGTGGAAGGAGGGAGAGGACATGTGGAGGGAAGTGAAGAAGGAGAAGCCTTTGTGTTTTCTCTTTCCCTCTGCCTCACTCTAATTAGACGGGCCAGTGTGAGCAGAATCCTGATGGCGGGATGCAGGGAGTAACAGATGTAGAGGGGAGGAATGAAACGTGGAGAGGGGAGGGAGGGTGTACTGTGATACCAACCTGAGCCTGGGAAAGGTAAATATGATCTTGTGCAGAGAGATGTGATGATAAAGTATAAGCATAAACAGATGAGTATGGAGATGAGATTTGGGAAAAGGAGGAGGAAATAGACAACCTGCTAAACTCTGTGTGTCTCATTGCAGAGTAAATCTAATTTGGAGGAGAAGCTGTAGATTTCATCAAGCAGTGACTTCCTCAATGTCAAATTATCAAAGACCCCAGTACTCTTCACTTTGCATGTCCCTGTCTGAATCACCCACCCACTGACATGGCAACCATTTCTCCTTAGAGCTACATTCATATATGACTTTTTCCATGAACTAAACCTGCGTAATAATCTAGATTGAAAAAAACAAACATGCCTAATTAGGTTCACTAACCTTTCTGATGGATTCATCCAACTGAGACTGGACTTTTAATAAGCATTTAAACACCTTAGTTTGGTTTTAATTGCACTGAAATTGAGCTTCTCTTAGTATTAGCCTCTTGCTATCGTGTTTTGCTGGGTGTTTTGACACATAATATGTCAACTGGGAGACAACCTGATAGTGAAAAGCTGAAAGGGGGAGTGATCGATAATTCGATTCTTGACCTGTGCACTTAAACTGAGATAAAGTAGGGTGACCATACGTCCTCTTTTTCACAGACATGTCCTCCTTTTGGGGACTGTCCGGCCTTGTCTGACTTTGTCTAGGGAAGTTTATAAACTCCTTTAAAGTTTTGAGTTTGTGTCACATGGATTTTCTGAGTTAGAAGCGCTTAAAAGCTCCAAATTATCTTTGTGTGACTCTGTGATTCTGCCCCTGCGTAGTCGTGTCCTCTTTTTGGGGATATGGTCACCCTAGATGAGGACAATAGTGCAGTTCAGTCACCCAAACCAGCAGTGGCAGTAGATTCACTTAACTGTGCATGTAAATGTACTGACTAACATTTTACCTACAAAAAGTCAAAAACAGGCATCTTAAGCAATTACTGAGGGAATGTGTCTGCTATAACAGGCACAAAATGTAAAATAACACTGAATACTGTGGGTGACACATCCTGTGGCATCCTTTGTCTGACTCATACAGATGTAGATTCATCTATCAACACTTGCACCCCATACCAAAACAATGCTACTTCCTCTTCTTGTTATCTCTTTCCATTGGAATTCATCAGCTTCAGGGTGTTAACTGTGGTAGACAGGCAGAAAATAAAGGCTTCTGACACCACACTCACATATACACTCACCGGCCACTTTATTAGGTACACCTGTCCAACTGCTCGTTAACACTTAATTTCTAATCAGCCAATCACATGGCGGCAACTTAGTGCATTTAGGCATGTAGACATGGTCAAGACAATCTCCTGCAGTTCAAACCGAGCATCAGTATGGGGAAGAAAGGTGATTTGAGTGACTTTGAACGTGGCATGGTTGTTGGTGCCAGAAGGGCTGGTCTGAGTATTTCAGAAACTGCTGATCTACTCGGATTTTCACGCACAACCATCTCTAGGGTTTACAGAGAATGGTCCGAAAAAGAAAAAATATCCAGTGAGCGGCAGTTCTGTGGGCGGAAATGACTTGTTGATGCCAGAGGTCAGAGGAGAATGGCCAGACTGGTTCGAGCTGATAGAAAGGCAACAGTGACTCAAATAACCACCCGTTACAACCAAGGTAGGCAGAAGAGCATCTCTGAACGCACAGTACGTTGAACTTTGAGGCAGATGGGCTACAGCAGCAGAAGACCACGCCGGGTGCCACTCCTTTCAGCTAAGAACAGGAAACTGAGGCTACAATTTGCACAAGCTCATCGAAATTGGACAATAGAAGATTGGAAAAACGTTGCCTGGTCTGATGAGTCTCGATTTCTGCTGCGACATTCGGATGGTAGGGTCAGAATTTGGCGTCAACAACATGAAAGCATGGATCCATCCTGCCTTGTATCAACGGTTCAGGCTGGTGGTGGTGGTGTCATGGTGTGGGGAATATTTTCTTGGCACTCTTTGGGCCCCTTGGTACCAATTGAGCATCGTTGCAACGCCACAGCCTACCTGAGTATTGTTGCTGACCATGTCCATCCCTTTATGACCACAATGTACCCAACTTCTGATGGCTACTTTCAGCAGGATAATGCGCCATGTCATAAAGCTGGAATCATCTCAGACTGGTTTCTTGAACATGACAATGAGTTCACTGTACTCAAATGGCCTCCACAGTCACCAGATCTCAATCCAATAGAGCATCTTTGGGATGTGGTGGAACGGGAGATTCGCATCATGGATGTGCAGCCGACCAATCTGCGGCAACTGTGTGATGCCATCATGTCAATATGGACCAAGCTCTCTGAGGAATGCTTCCAGCACCTTGTTGAATCTATGCCACGAAGAATTGAGGCAGTTCTGAAGGCAAAAGGGGGTCCAACCTGTTACTAGCATGGTGTACCTAATAAAGTGGCCGGTGAGTGTACATACATGTATAAAGTCCTAACACTGTGAACACTTGGGCAAAGTAAAGCAAAACAACAGCTGTATCGTCAAGTTTACTTTTAATTAGCATATACATTTTCTGTTGTTTTTTTTTTTGTTAACATGATCAGACAGGTGATAACATTAACACTTTATATTTAGAGAGTGTTGCAGTGCACTAGTGTGTTGAATTAGAACATTTTATCCACCTCTGAGTGTCAAAAAGGAAACTTCTATTAATAAAATACACTCTGAGTCATGACCAGCACCTACTACAACTTAAGCAATTAATTCAAAGAACAATTATCACCTGTATGACCATGTCAATTAAAACCAGATAAACACTCACTGAGGCCAAAGGAAGGGAATATACACACAAGCAAGCATGTCCCCAAAATAAGGGTTGTCTCTAAAGCGCTGGTCCTCACAAGTATATGAAAACAAGCACGCGCACACACCCACCCCTCTTGTTTTAAGATCAAACAGGGACACAGAAGTCCCTGTGTTGTAGAGAAGCTGCAGGGCAGGATGATTCAGTGAGCCGGAGTAGTAATTAAATAAGTGAGGATCGAATTAAGCCAATAATGCAGCATCTGATGTAGGCAGCATTAGCACTGCATTAGTTTGTGTTATATTGAGTATAATCACAGGTTTTCTGAGACATAGCCATAAAGACAGAATGTTTTCAAACTAGGAACAGTAATATTGATTAAATTTAATTAGATCTCAAATTCAGTGGCATTGATCTGTGCTGTTATATAAAGTCTGCCTGCATGCAAGTGAAGTGAGGATGTCTGCAAACTTAAAAGGGACTAAAATCTGAATAGTCATGATCCAGAACCAGGATCTTAAACAAGAGTTTTGTGTATGTGATAAATGAAACCTTTAAATCTTTGACACTTGAGCTTGTAACTTTTTAATGAGTGACAACCCGCTGTGTTCTTCAAACTGCAAAACTATAAATGTGGCTGTCAGCTCTGTCAAGTTTTAGCAGAACTACGGAGTAGGTAGGGGGAAAAAAAAGAAAAAAAACATCCCCACAGAATATTTGGGGAACAAATGGATTATATGCCTCAAGCTCAGCCTTGTCGTCATAGGCCAGATTTGTCATTCTGTGGGATTTGAAATGTCTTCCTTCAAGCTCTTAAAATGGCTTTCCTTGATTTGTGCCACCATTTGGGTAGCCAAGCCCGCTCATGAGTCAACATAGAGCTGCATGTTTTTAGAGTTATGAGAAGAAGATTTCGCGTCATATATATAAGCAGATGTGATCTCGGTTCTGCGTTATCGTTGCTATTTCCAAATCAAAGGTTACTGCACTTAAAATACATGAGAAAATGCGCATCATCGCTTGACAGTTGATTTAAAACCTAAATATGGAGCGGGTTCGACTCTTATATTTATTATGACAAAAGAAAATCTCATACAGATTTAGTGCAATATGTGCTTACCGAGATCTGAGGTGGCTTCATCAAATATTGAGCTGCATTTCAAAGGGAGCTGCCACAGTGTGATTGAGAATAGCAAACATGAAAGTGAGATAATCCATCAACACATTTGGACCTGCAAACACTGATGACCCATTTCTTCTTGACACCTGTTCCAACACTTCAGTTGAATGATGCATTATTAACATTTATCTTTCACTTCCTGAGCATGTGGGTGCATGTGTCGACATTTATGTGTGCGGCGCTTGTGTAACAGAGAAAAAAATCTTGTAAAAGCAAAAGAGAGAGAGAGAAGACAGAAGTCTTCGACCTGCCTCGCCATGAGTATAATACTCTCTCTTGACACTTGTTTAAATCACACCAGCACAGTAATAGAGATTTAATCGTTTTGCCTTAAGACTCCGAGGAGTTCACGTCCAGTCATGTGCAAACATTGATTAAAATATGAATAAAATATACACTATGAGTTTGTTAAGTGACATTTTCATGGGTGTATAGATGGATTTTTTAACTATCTCAAAGCCTGAAAAAAAAACAAGAATCTTTGTCATATGAGAGCTCGGTTGCCATGCTTTCATGTGACACTCACATTCAGCACCATGGCCTTGAAGGCTCCAGCACCAAATCAAATTGAATTGTTAAATGGTGCATTTTTGTCTAAATCCTGTCTCTAAGTGGAGGCTACCGAGCTTTAACAATGTTCTGGACATTTCTTGGAAGCCCCGCTACTCTGAAACGAAGCTCCTTGGCCACTGTGGATAATCCATCTGATTCCAGTTTTTTTCAGACGCTGTAATTAAATTTCCTAACGATCGAGGCTCTGTAACAGAGGGGGATTGGACACTGAGTGGAATTGAAGTTCAGAGGAGCGAGACTTCCATAATGAAGCTTATTCATTTAAAGCATATAGCATGCCACCCACCAGTGTTATCTCACTTCAACCATGTAGTTGCCAAATGACCTGACAAAAAAGAATGATATACTGTTCTATACGTGGCAGCAGCTGTAATCCAGTTTAATATGAGACCTGGTGCAGATCACAAAGACGCAACACATGTTTTTTAATGAGGGAGGCAATTAGCCTGTGATTCTGGGGTTCCATGTGTATTGGATTGCTTAATTTCAATTACAGAATACATCAGCATCCAATTCAGTCTTCTCCGGGCTCTGTGGGAAAATTTTAAAAGCACCGCTGACAAAGAGTACAAAACTCTGTTGAGTGAGGTGGGCTTGAATTCAAGATGCGGAGCACACAGTAGCACTGACAAAAAGAGAAAAATGACTGAGAAGTGGCTTACTTTGAGGATGGGAACACAACTTTTACAGATGTGTTTCAATTTCGGAGGCCATGCCTTGGCCTGAAGTCAGAAAAGACAGTCAAAAGAATATGCTCGCACTTTTGAGTGGTTGATTCCCAAAGGTAGAGTGGGTCGTATTCTAATCGTGGGTTGGCAGCTCTGATATTAGCAACCTACGGTCCACATGTCGAAGCGTTCTTGGGCAAGACGCTCTACTTTTTAGAGGCTTGGCACTTGAACAGCAGCCCCTGCCAGAGGCCTGTGAATCAGCGTGTGTAAAAGCATGAAGCTCTTTTGAGAGTTTCGGAGACAAGAAAATGTCTGAATAAGCGCAGTCCTCTTACCATTTGTTCATAAAGAAGATCTGGTGTCATGAACACATCGCACCAGGAAAAAGGCTGCTGTGAAAATGCCAAAAGCCAAAGCTCTCAATCTACCCAGTGATCTCTATTCCACCCCTTGCGCACTGCCAAAAGCCCTGGTTAGTGACTGAGAGGATAAGATTGATCCTCAGGGAGGGGGAGAGAGGCTCAGGGTTGAACCACTGCTCCTCGCCATTAAAGAAGAACCAGTTGAGGTGGCTGAGGCATCTGATTAGAAAAACCCTCTAAGGTGCCTTCATTTGGAGGGCATGTCTGGCTGAGGGGAGAGTCATGACAGATTCAGACCACCTCAAAGGAGATTATATATATATTGCAACACCTGAAAATACCTTGGGATCCTTCTGGCTCAGCTAAAAGGACATCCAGAGTATTCTACCAGAGCTGCTTCCACTCTATAATCCATACTCAGCCTTTACTATAATCCTCTTGAAGATGATATGGGAGTAATGGGAATTTCCTTTCAACCTATAGACATGTGGTTTGTAGATTTGTAAACCTCAAAAACCAGAAATCATATGCTTCAGGGAGGTGCGGGTTTCTTCCTTTGGCTTCTGAAGACTTGAGACTGGAAGTTTATGCACTCCACCTATGTTAAATAAATCTCAATATAGGCCCCACAGAATCATCTTCAATTATTTAGGAGTTGTGACGTCTGTATGCAGATGATACCGTCCTGTTATCAAAGCTGTTATTAGTAGTAACAATGTTGTATGTTGTTCAGCTGTGTACTTTGATTGGTCCAAATGGTACCTACAATGTTTGATAGATGCCATAACTTTACAAGAAACATGTAAAATAAGTGACGCCATAAACAGTAACATGTACTCCAGTTTGTATTGCTCAAAACCTGATTCACAATGATGGTGTATTTCTATGCACTTGATAAATAAACCAAAAAACAAGGATTTAAATGCCCCACAAGCTACTCTGCAGAGTAAATAACTCTGTCTCTAAACAAATGTACAAATGTAAAGGCAAAAAAAGTCTGACCTCACTTAAAAACTCTATTTCTAACAGAAACATACAATTTCTTACAATGTTCACAATTCCACCTCTAGTTGACCTCGAAGTAATACATCTGCACATGGAGTCTGTCCTTACCTCTTGACATAATATATTGCTTTTGCTCGCTTTCTGTGCAGCAAAAGAGAAAAAAGCTCACTGGTCAATTTCCAACTCAAACACAAAGCAGGAGCCAACTGTACAGAGACGCAAAACCTTGATGGCGTTTCTGAGCTTGACTATCATTCACTGAGAGACAAAACAGGCGGTGGGGAGAATTATGCAATATTTTTTTTGATGCTAGTATTAACTTATTATCAAGTTCACCAAACAAACCATGGAGATGAAAACTGAGTGAGGATCATGAGAAGACAGTGCCAGAAAAACTGCTCTACTCTGAATCCTTCTGACTAAAACAACAGTTTTGCATGATGCAGTTCTCAAAAAAATTTGCATTTCCTCAGACCTGAATCTAGATTTTAGGTTGAAGGATGTGTATTTGCACCTTGTGTCCATCCACGTGAGAGGGGATAACATCCCTTGAAAGTCTTACTGATGTGTGACAGTAAGAAGGATCATGGGATTAATGGAGAGTGTCAGCTGCACTTATTGCAGGTGTAATGTGGGGATATAGATGGGAGAGGAAGTGTGGGACACAGATGAACGCTTTTCTGCTCTTTCTGCCGTTGTATGACATTGGTCATCTGCGGTCATGGCGCTTTACCAGGACAAAAAGAGTGAGGTCAAAGTGATTTTAGTTAGTGTAGGAGTCTTTTGTGGATCAACTTCGATATAAATGGGTAAAAGATAGATAGCTTAATGGATAGACGAAGAAAAAGGGAGGAATAAGTGGTAAACATCCATACAACCACTTCCTCATTTGCCACCGCAAGTCTTGAAAACATCAACATGAGGGCTTTGCTCTGGCAACGAATGGCTCAACTCTCTAATCTTCAGTGTAATGCCATTATTATTGGTGACATGGCGTCAGCTCGAAAGCCATGATAGGGCGCATCACAGAGTCACTTTGTGTTCATATTTCACAATTGGATGGGGAGAGAATGACGTGCTTGAAAAAAGGAAAACAAAATTAATCTAACGAGCTTTTGCTTGTTAAGTACGCGCTCCGTCTTCAGCTGAATGACAATGACGAGGCCTCCGCTTACCGCAATACACTTTCCATTGAATAAATGAATATGTGAGCACGTCGCAAAACAATAGGCAAACGGAGGAATTAATTCGATGAATTGAAAAGCCTGCAGTGCCAGATAAGCCATAAGGCCTCGCTGCTGAGGTAGGAAGTATAGCAGCATTTGTTGAGCTGCATGGATATGGTGGATGGGTCTACGCGGAGTACACCGTGGTAGGACTGGATCTCCGGCCAGAGTTTCTTGCATCATTAATTCAGCATCTCATTGGCACTGTGTTTTGGCTGTTTTTTTTTCTGCATGCAGGGGAAGAAAATTGCGAGGACAAAGAGAGGTCAGAGAGCAGCGGAGAGACAAAACTTTCCCGGGAACTTTGACAAGCTTTAACAAAATTTTCTCGCATCCATTTTTCCCTCAAATAAAAAAAAAAGACTGTTATGAAATGTTTGGCCAAGGCTAAGAGTTCAAGAATAAATATGTACTTATGTGTACGACTTCAAACTACAGTCCCAAAGATCAGAGAGCAAATCCTTCCTTACATCCACATTCAGACAGACCTACAGCCGTGCATCAGAGCCAGCAGCTACCCCGGGGGGGCGGCAGGCTGCAACATCCAGGACCAGCGAGGCCACTCGGTTATCAGGACAGCTAAAACAGGCTCTGTGCTTGGCATGGAACTACAAAGTACCTAGGCCTGCAGGGGGAGTCCTGTTTGATAGGGAGGTGATAAAGATGGACGGTCACCCCTGCCAACTACCTCTGAGTCATAAAGCAGGGATGAGTACTGGAGGAGGACGAGGCGCGCAAGACAGAAAGGGCTTGATAGTTAGAGTATCAGCTGCACTGGATAGCTTTGAATGCTGGGTAATTGGAATGGGAGAGCCCTTGATGAGAGAGAGAGGATTGTGCTCACAGCTAAGGGAGACATTTTCCACGGCTCTGTACTTTATTTTCTTCTGTTACTTTCCTGATGGAGCTCTCGAAATTGTTCTTGCTTTAACGCAAACAGTATGTAAAGTGCTGCAAAGTGCTGCTGCGAGAGGGGCGTTCAGAGGCTCGGACTACATACAGACGGATTAGTGGGTAAAGTTCGCGACTTCTCCTCCGGACAAGCTACGGCTGCCTCCTAACAGCTCATGTTTCACCTGAATGAGCTCATATGGCGACCATGATGGAACGAGTTCTTATCACTCAGCGTAAACACAGACAGCTTGAGATTTGTAGAGATTCCAGGTGGAGAAAAAAAAAAGGCTTTTTATGACGAAAATAAACCTGTGTGAGGTTTGCAGCGTGACCTTGACGAATTTTACCCACAGAAATTGATGTATTATATGCATAATATAACCTTGTTTTTTATGAGTGCAGAAAAATTGATGGACCTGCAGAGCTTCTCCGGTGTAAATATGTCGACCAGCAGCAGATAAAGTAGACAAAGTGCCAGCTACAATTTGAGGGGAAAACTCACATTATTGGACTTTAAGAAGGTAAAAATTGATTTTCTTGTATGACTTATTTTCTACACCGTCCACTGATGACTCAATAATAGACCTTTAAAAAAAAAAGGAAAGGCAAAAAAAAGCGATAAACTCGAACGGTGAGAAAAGGCCAGCAGCCACATTAAAATGCAGCTCAGCAAATACTCATTATTTTTACACTAGTACAGTCCAAGGGGAGAAAAAAAAAACTGCTGTACGTGAGGGTTACACTTCAGATTAGTGAACTGAAAAGGAAAAAAAAAAGTGAATTTGAATGTTTCCCATCTCTCTGTTCTTCCCTCTGAAGTGGTTCAACAATGACGGGGAGGCACATGGAAAAGGTATTTAAGCATGACAGTGGAGCTGGAATTAGTTAAAGCTACAAAATACTGCTGATAGAATCCCTCCTGCTCACTCTGCTGGGCTTGTGACTGACCTTGAGTACATACATAAATGTATGAACACATGGAGACGATATAGAAATATTTACATTTAGATACACTGGTGGTCCTCTTAGGCGTGTTCTCATGCCCTGTGTCTCAAGTTGACAAGACTTCATCATTTCATTTCTCTGGTGTCAAGTGTAAACCTGATGCGGGTATCAGCTGTGATTACCTGAGCCATAAACAAGAAATTTTTCTATCAGAGGATTCAAAATTGTCCAGTGAGATGTTCAGGAAACATGTTCAGATCACAATTCAACAGAGGTGGTTTTCAAATCTCCGGAGTGTCTGCTGGTCTGGAATGGAGCTGTTTCATACTTGGTGCATTAAGGGACACAGTTTGTTTCTCTGAACAACACATGTTCGAAGAAATCTCATCATTTCATGTTCAATAAGTCTGTAAAAAATGTCCTTTTTTCACTTAATATTTGTGTGAAAGGTCGGTTGAGCTGTGGGAATTGTTGCCTGTTCACTGTCGTGGTGTAAAAGGATGGGAATCAATAACAGGGTCTTTGAAATACCAGATAAGGAGTTTTGCAAAACCTGAAAGTCAATATCATTTGAGATTATCGGGTCTGTTATCGGGTCTTTGGGATCCCATACAGTCATTATTTACCATATTTTTTGGACTAGAAGGTGCACTTGTATGATTACTTGTTGTGCTTACTGACCAATTTAATGTGGTACAATGCACTCAAAAGTCAGTCGAAATGTTTAAGTATGACTTTGGTAAGCAACGAAGCCCGCTCAATGGCTATTCGGTGCATTACGGTATGCTGTGTCACTATCTGATTGGCCCCGTAACAGGATCTCTGTGTAGTCTACAAGACTGCCTGACTGTAATGGCGATATTCGAAGTGCATTCATGTAAGGCAGCCTGCGCCCAGA